AACATCTATGTAAGTCATCTAACTGCCTAATAAGTTTACTGGCTGCAGTTAAATACGAGCAAAATTTCACGAGATTTTGTAAGGTTTCAGGTACATATTTACAGGCTAGTGTTTTTTGGCCGTCGTAGTCATCGTGCACATCGTTTAATGCAGAAATTAGCTTTAACAGCGTTTCTGTTGAATAATATGATTCGTTATCGAAGAAGTGTAATCCTGTACCCAGTGAGCTTAAGCGGCAATTCTTGGCTGACATTTTGATGTTTCATTTTATAGTTTTCCTTTCCCACCTAGATGATGGTGCTTCTTCGTTTGCGTCCATGTCGGGTTTCACTCGATTGTTCATAATTTGCTTATCTTCGGCTTTTTTCCTCTATACCGTTCCTGAATTTCCGCTGTAGGTGACTTCCATGGGCGTTCTCTTTATTATAGTTCATTCTGTTTGCTTTTATTTTTATGCCCTATAAAAAGAATACGCAATTCAAGTTGATTTCCTGTACGTCTTTTTTCTGTCAAATGTTCTGCCACCCTGCGCTGTTTTTTAACGTACTTACAAAATTACTTGTTCTTTTCTTTTCCTCTTCCCTGCTGATGCTAGGGTTTTGCTAATTTCGTTTGTGTATTTGTGTTCTGGACATCTTTTTCTGACTTGGCTTTTATATACTTGAGTGATTTCCTATAATCTTTATGTGGCGGGTTTTTCTTGCGACGAATAGAATTCTACTTTTGCTGCAATAAGACAGCAATTTTGAGTTCAACTTTACATCCGGCGTTTGAAAAGGTCGCATCATTTAACGCTGCTGTGCGTCACTTCACGACTTTTCTCTTCAGTTAAGAGTTCTTTTGATCTTCATTGCTTGCTGATGAATCTGTGTTCGCCCCCACGAAGAGCAAGATTCTAAACTGAGAACTTAACTGAACTGAAACCGAAGCTTAACAACTCTGTCTCTGTTGTAGCAAGTTACAACTTACTATGCGAAGTTTCACATCAGATTACGTCTTTTAAGTTAAGACGAAATTAACTTGGTTTACGTTGTGGTCGCCATCATTTGCAAGAATGCAGCTGCTAGTGTGAATTTTCGCTTAAAGCAAAGGTACAGAATATGTTGAAGCTTCTCTTGGGGGTTGCTTTCGTAGTTATTTGTACTTTATTAAGAGTATTTTTATTAGTTTTGCTTCATTCGCTTAGACAACACACAGTCAGTCAATCACGTTACATGGCAAGGTCACAGGGACGTAACAGAAACAAGGCAAATGAAACATCCCAGACCAAGTCTTTAAAAAGACTCTTTCAAACAGATCGAAACCTCGCTGTAATAAACACTTGCTACCTTCTTCTCCCCCTCCTCCCCCAAGCACCCTGATAGATTATCACGTATTTTTAATAAGCCACATAAACGGCTGTCATTTAATCATTCAACATCACAGCGTTCATTAACTCGGCTAATGCAGGCATTCTCGTTCCAGTACATTTGAATTTTGGTTGTACATGTTACCTAACTTGTGTGTCATATTTGCTTTCTTGATCGATTTTTGAGTTTTCTCCTATTTAGGCTATGGCCACAATACGTTCGAGAGCGTATTCACAGCACGTACGAATTTCTAGGCGGAAGCTTAGTGCTGACAGCAGCTTCTGCAGTCGCCATAGCAAAGAACAAAACAATGATGGCGTTCCTAACCCGAAACTCTTTTCTGGTAAATTTTTTGCATTGCTACTGCTGCTTTGTTAGTGGTAATTTATCTTTTTGCAGACAATGGCGGGAACGATTGCGGCTATGATTGGCACTACAGTGGCATGTCAGTCGATTGCTTATGAACCCGGAAAGATAGGAGCGAAACAGCTTTTCTGGGCGTTGAACTGCGGCGTGATTGGTGCTGTAATCGCCCCTTTAACATTTCTTGGGGGTCCTCTTATGCTGCGAGCTCTCTGCTACACTGGTGGCATCGTTGGAGGTACATTTGTTATTGATCGTTGTTTATTCCTGCTTGGAGCTTGATTTTAACAGGATTATCGGCTGTTGCTGTTTGTGCTCCAAGTGACAGATTCTTGAATATGGGTGGTGCACTGGGAATTGGTCTGGGTGTGGTCTTCGTTTCTTGTCTGGGTAGGATTTTTTAACGACATTTCAGTTTTCAACCGAGTTCATTCTAGGTACGTTCTTCTTGCCACCTACAACGATGCTTGGTGCAGGACTGTATTCCGTTGCGACCTATGGAGGTCTTGTCCTCTTTTCTGGTTTTTTGCTCTACGACACACAGAGAGTCGTAAAAGTCGCTGAATTGTATCCATATTATGCCATTACGCCTTTCGATCCTATCAATGCGTAATGCCGTTATAAGATGTTTCTCATTTATAACTGAAGTACTTTTCTAGGCAACTTGGTATCTATATGGATATCATAAATATCTTCATACGAATGGTAATGATCCTTGGCGGTGGAGGTGGAACTCGTAGGCGTTAATGCAGTTTCGAACCTAACGAATTAAATCAAAACTCGTGAAAATGTAGTATTTGCGTCTTGTCTGTTTCGTAAACGTTGCGTAACAGGCGTGTTTCAGTCTCAGTCCGAGGCAGTCACAGTTTAATTTCCTTTAACAGTTATTTTCAATAAAATGCTTTTATGCTAAATATCTTACAGTTTAGCTCTTGCGCATGTGGCGGAAGTGTAGGGTTTGATTCCTCTGGATGGTAATCTTTGTCCTATTCACGAATTCCTTTGAGCATGGAATTTACCACAGTTCTTCACACCTAGGCTGTTCAGTCAGTAGAGCGTCGAACTCAGAATTTATGCGGTCGAGGTCACTCGCCCTTCCTCTAGGGGGATGATAAATGAGTACTACACCTTGGAAAGGAAGCAGTCGGTTACAGAATACGCTTGCCACATGGCTGTAGGCTCTACTTTTTAAAAAAAATAAAGCATTCATGGCCAATAGCATAGGAACAGAGATCAGCATTGCATGTTAATTGCATGGAAAGAACGGCGCCGAAATATCCCAATCATGAGAGTGAATTAAGATCGAAAACGTTAGCCAAGTTGTTGCGCATCATCGAACAGATTTCGCAGAATGAAAACATTTTTCAAATTAACATTTGTTTAAACAAAATATCTCTCAAGCTGAATACAGTCTCCGAGATGCCGTGATCTTTTGAACTGCATGAGGATCAAAATACGTGACGTTAGATGATAAAAGCCGGGTTCCTTTATAAAATACTAAATGCAACATTGGAATTTGATTCCATGCTCCCATTGGAATTTGATGCTTAAATGTTATTCTCACGCTCGAAGCCACCTTGAAGCATGCGACGTAGCATAAGACATGATTGTGCAATGGACTCACAACAGAATGCAACCACTACTCATGTAACCTTTCAGCCAACGCTCACTACTGATGATTACCCTAATTACCTAAGCACTTCTTCCATTCGTTTATGCCGTTAAGGAAGTCATCACTTAGACTTGGGACTGGACTACAAGCATTTATTTGCATTGCCGTATGTAAGAATGCAAAAAGTGTATTCGGTGTAGGAGATGCGAAGTCGAGAAGGTTGCTGTTTGCAGACGACCTTGTTATATTATCATCTTCTGAAACTGATCTCCAGTGCAACCAAGAAAGGTTCGCAGCCGAGTGCGGTGATCGGCATG